GCGGAGCCGGTCAGGGGACCGCAGACCGGGGCACACAGAAGAGGGTCCGGGGGAGGGAGGGGAGCGGGGCGCTTGGGCAACTGCTCCGGCCAGAAACACACGCCGACATAAAGGTTCCCAGGTGCTTTCGGCCCGGCCTCGACGCTGAACCCTGCTGCCCCGCGCCCCATACGCAAATAAAACCCCTAAAGTGAAGTGTGGAATGTTTATTGAGTAAAGGGTGAGGGGAGTGGGTGGAAGAGGGTGATACAGAAAGGAGCCGTGCCCGTGCTCTTTTGTCAAGTCTTCCACGCGGACAACCATTCACTACTTCGGAGCAGAAAACCAGGGCTCGGAGAGGTTAAGTCACTTGCAAAGGCTCACACAGCACAGCTGGGCTGGAACCCAGTTGCGACTGGCTCCCAGGCCCAGGGAGGGGCAACGACTTGATCTACATCACACAGCTAGGGCGAAAGGGAGGGGATGAAGGCAGGAATGAGGTTTCTCCCTTTGGATAGATAGGAAAACTGAGGCCCAGGGTAAGGCAGTAGCCTCAGCAGAGCCAGGGAGTGTGTGGTTGTGCCTCGGTGTGGGTCCGACGCCGAGGCCCAGAGCCGGGTCTGGACTTAATGGAGGCGCACGTGCTGCGCCAGCTCCTCGGCGTCCTGGAAGCGGCGTGGGCAGAGTGGGCAGCTGTGTGGTGGGCCCGCCCGGGCGCGGTGCGTGGCACGGTGCCGGGACAGGTGGCTGGAACGCTTGAAGGCCTTGCCGCAGGCGCCGCACGTGAAGGGCTTGAGGTCCGAGTGTGATACACGGTGGCTCTGCAGCCGCAGGGGGCTGGCAAAGACACGGTCACAATCCGGGCAACTGTAGCCCTTGGGAGGGGGGGGCTCTACCGGAGGTTCCTCGGGCTGGGGCGGGCTCGGGCTCCGGGGCGGCGGCTCTGGCGGCTCCGTGTACGTGTAGGGGACCCCGTTGGCGTCGATGAGCAAGTGGCAACCCAGCAGTGGGGGTCGGGGCCCCGCCACCGAGGAAGGAGTGGAGGAAGGGCCTTCCGCCTTGGGGGACGGTGGGTCCATGGCCTCCGGAGAGGAAGGCGGGTGGGGTGGCCGCAGAGGCAGCAACAGCATCTGGAGCGGAGCGGCAACTGGGAGCGGCGGGAAGGGAGAGAAGTCAACATCGCCACTTCCTGGGGAAAGTGTGCCCCTTCTCGCTGCACCACTGACCTACCTCCCTACAAAAAAGAAACTCTGACTCCAGGCCAGGCCGCTCAGGTGCCGAGCAGCTTCGGGACGCCTCCGACTGAGAGAACACCCATGCCCCAACCTGTTCCTGCGGGGTCCTTCTCAGCCCCACCCACCAGAGGGCATCTTCCAGCCACTTCCCTACCCCCAGCAGCCAATCAACGTCCACGTCTAGTTCCCCTCTTCACTTCTTTTTTGGCTTTTATCTCAGGCCCCGGGCCCTTCGGAGTTTTTGTAAAGGGGTCGCTTTCTTCCTCTCCTTCCCAGCCCCCGGGGCCGCGCAGCAGCCCCTTCTCTCTTCCTCCCAGGCTCTCCTGGGTCTCCACCCCGGCCCCCCCCAGGTTCGCTGCAAATCGCCCCCGTCTCGGGACATCCCTGTCCTCTCAATTTCCTCTCCAGCTACATCTCCAGAGTCCCACTAACCCGATTCCCCACTTTTCACTCGGGCTCCTATGCCCTGTTTCTACCCTTCGCGCCTCACGGTCTCCACATCCTCGCCCCACTTCCTCCCCATCGTCTGCCTCCGAGTCTGCGCCCCCAGGACCCTCAGCTGCCTGCTTCCTAAGGGCCCTGCGGCTCCTGCACCCCGCAGCCCCACCAGGGGTCCCTCCCGCATAACCACTGCCATCTTCACTTTTTCCCTCCCCCTTCCGGCGGGGTCTCTTTCCCAAACTACCTCCCAGGCCCCCTTCGCTTTCCCTTCCGAGCGCAG